AATGTGCCTCTCCTGATCACACACCCCGAGTGGGAGACAGAGGCTCGGCATCTTTGTCTCTAACAAGCACCTTGGCTACACTGGTTTCCTCTTTGGACATTTCACCGTGTATCTAGTACTCTGCCAATATCACAATTCAAAGGCACTGATTTCCATCAGTTTCCTTTTACTCACTGTCCAACTTCCAGATGCATATGAAGAGATTGAAAATACCATAGCTTGGACCAGGTATACTTTAAACTGACATCTTTGCTCTTTAACACTTTAAAAGGTCCTTAACAGCAAATTTGCCCAGTGCAAATTAGTCACCTGATTTCTTGAATGCTGATTCTATGGGTATTGATTATGGATCCAAGTTAAAAAAATCAAACAACAACAACAAAAAACCCCAACCTCTTGACAGTTTCAGTATTTTAAATTTGCCTAATTGTCCAGTTGTGGGGAATTTTGTTTTCCTGATGTTGAGGAGCAATCTATACTAAAGGCTGTAGTTATTGATCTTCTCCAGTAAGTGCTTCAAGTCCTCTTTACTTTCTGCAAGCGAGGTGTGTCATCTGCATAATACAGGTTGTTAATTAGTCTTCCTCCAATCCTGATACCACATTCTTCTTCATGGAGTCCAGCATCTTAGATTATTTGCAAAGCATACAGACAGAATCAACAGAACACTTACTGCCATCAAATGAGTCAGTTCCAGGTCTTAGTGCCTCCACGTACTGGGTTTCCAAAGCTGTAGATCATAATAAGAAGAGACTTCCCATCTTTCCCCCAAAGAGCAGGGCCCTGTGGGTTAGCAGAGCAGCATGCTATCGACTGCACCACCAGAACTCTCTAACACTGAATGGATATGGTAAAAAGACACAACCTCGATGCTCACCTGTCCTGATTTCCAACCATGCAGCATGTCTTTGTTCTGTTCAAATGACTGCTTCCTGCTTGATATCTTGGTTCTGCGTGAGTACAAGTAAGTGTTCTGGAATTCCTATTATCAATGTTATCCATAAATTATTATGATGCACTCAGGAAAATGCCTTTGGGTTGTTGATAAGACACAAGTAAACAATTCAAGGAACCCTAAAGAGAGGACAGACCCATTAGGCTTAAAAGAGGGGAGGTCGTGGTGGGAAAGTATGTGGCAACCTGCACTGCTAACCCAAAGGGCGAGTGCAAATCTGCCAGTGGCTCCCTCCAAGAGAGAAAGATAGGCAGCCTGTGCCTGTTGGGATTTACAGCTTTGGAAATGTCTGGGAGGACTGCCGAGGCAGAACTGACTCTGCAGCACTGCGTGTGTTTGAGCCTTCAAAGAGAGCCAACACCAGAGCAGAGAGGGAATCACTACCACCAAGAAAGAAGAGCTGGGAACAGAGTTCCTGTGGACCCAAGTCCCTGTGCTGAGAACCTCCTAGACTCAGGAAACAGGAGAGAGAGAGAGAGAAAGAGTGATAGAAGAGAAATGATAGTCACAGCACCAGGCAAAGATGAGAAATGGTTTCCCAGCCCACAGAACAGGGGTGGTACAGTGGATGAGCCACGGAATGGGGCACATCCATGTCTATCTATGTCAGGGGAGATAAACAGCTTTGTAACACTAGTCTGAACAGGGCTGAAACTAGGGCAAGGGGCTGAGGACTAGAGAGAGGCCTGCCTGCCTTGATGGAAGAACTGTACCCTGAATTATCCTTGAACGTGAATTGTAACCTGTTACTTGCTTGTAAAGCCCAGTAACTGTGAGTATATCTGTGGGTTCCATGAGGAATGACGGATGTCAGAATTTATGAAGACATTGGAGGGAGGGGCATGTCTGACTGCCTCATAGGAACCAGCCCTGGGCTGCTCACCTTGCTTCTCCTTCCCTCTTATGAAATTGGAGGTTGTCAGATGTCCAGGTGCCATGTTATTTTTATGTCATCCTTTCTGATTCCAGCCTCCTCCCTCCGAGTGAACAGGCACCTCTCAGTCAGGGCCTCTAACCCCCTTCAACCAGGTCCCCAGGCCTCCTCAGCCAGCCAGGCATCCAAGACCCTTAGCTCTCTCTTGGTCAGACCTCTGAAGGCCCCAGGCCCTCTCCCCAGCCCTGCTTCCCTTCCTGCTGCCTTCTGGATTCCTGGCCCATACAGCTGACACCTCCCCTCCCCCGCCTCCATTCATTTAGTGTTTATTTGGCATCTACTGCTGTAGTAGGCGTCATGGTACAGAGATGCCTTTTCAGAGGAACCCTGTTTAGTGGCTGAGATAAATACCTAACAGCAGTCCTGGTGACACGTGTCACAGGCACAAACGTAGCTCAGCTCTGGGTAATGTGTTGTCCACACAGACATCATGGCGGTGCCCAGGACAAGTGTCATGTGGACACCGAGTTCAGAACTGCACCAAGGATTGGTGTTGTGTACACAGACATCACGCCAGTGCCAGGGGCATGACATAGACACTGTGGAATAGTGTCATTTTCTCAGAGATAGTGTGACAATGCCAAGTGACACGTGCTGTGCACACACAGATACGACATTGCTGATTGGCAGGTGTGATGTATGCAAAGGTATCACAACAGTGCTGGGGGCTGCAGGCACCCCACATCGGAGTACCTGACCTGAGTAGAATCTCTGAGATGAGCAGAGTTAACCCACTTGGCTACTAGCCAAAAGAGACCTCAGAAGAAAGTCCTGGTGATCCACCTCCAAAAAACAGAGCACATTCCCACTCAGACACACACAGAGTCACCATAATCAACTTGACCATGGGTACTGTGTTGTCCCAATCAGGTGCTAAGGAAACGTTCCCCAAGAGAGGTGTCACGACCCCTCGTCTCTGTCTTCTCTAACTCACAGGGGCACACAAGCCACCCTGAAGACCCTGCTGGGTCAGAGACCCAGGAGAAAAGAATCAGGAATCCCAGAAGCTATGTCCCCACCCTGAGGGTGCTCTGAGGGGTGCTCAGACTGGCACACAGCTGCCTGTAGAAGCATTAGCTAAGGAGCTCTGCAAAAAGCCTGGTTTCTGCCTGGACGCAGAGAATTTACTCAGTAGAGGGCAGGGTATGTGAGAACCTGGATTGTAAACACACCCCCCTGGAGGCTGTAAAAGTGCCACCAGGTTTGGGGACCATCACTCACTGTGTCTCTCTTCTTCCAGGAGGCCAACCCCATGCTGGGAGCACCTCTTCCAATAGGAGCCTCTCCTGAGTGGGGGGAGCACCCCCTTCTACATGGGGGGCAGCAATGCCTCATGGGAGAGGGGCTGAGACCTGGGTGGGAGCATTTCCTCCTCAAGGGAGTATCGTTTCCTCAAGGAAGAACCACCTCCTGGCTGGGGGAGCACTGCTTTCCAGTGGGATCACTACCTCAGTGCCTCAGGGTGGGAACACCACCTCCTGGGTTGGAGGAGCCATGCCTTTGAGGGGGCATCACCTCTCCAGTGACAGCGTTACCTCCTGGGTGAGGGGAGCACATCTCCAGGGAGGGAGTGCTGACTAATGAGTGGGAACACCCCCTTGTGGGGGGGGGCACCAGCTCTCGGCGGGCACCATCCTCATGTAGTGGCAGCATTGCTTCCTGGTGGGAACGTTAGCCTTCTAATATGAACGCCACCTTCCAGTGGCAGTGCTACTCCCCAGATGGGAGCACAACACAACACCCCAGACGGGAGCATGACACCCCAGACGGGAGCACGACACCCCAGACGGGAGCACGACACCCCAGACGGGAACACAACACCAAGACGGGAGCACTACCCCCAGACAAGAGCACAACACCCCAGATGGAAGCCCTAACCTTGCAGATGGGAGCACTACCTCCTGGGTAAGGGAGAGATTGCTTCCTGGTGGGAGCATTACCTTGCTAATATGAACACCATCTCCCCGTGGGAATACTACCTAAAAAGGGAGAGGCCTCCCCTCCCGAGAAAGGGGGAGACTGCTCCCAGGTATGAACATGATCTCTCTGGGGTGGTCACCACTTCCGAGGTGAACGCATTGCCTCTCAAATGTGCACACCACCTCTCTTGTGCAAACACCATGTCCCAGGCGGGATCATTGCCTCCAGGGGGAGTGCTCCCCTTCTCAGGTGGGAGCAGTTGCCTCTTCTCATAGGCCAGGAGGTAGTGGAAATGATGACAGTGGGATGGAGAAGGGAAGCCATGTGGGAATGGTGGCCCTGGGGTGTGTGGGTGACTCAGCCCCACGCAAGTCACAGGAGGTATCAGATGGCAGCCTCACTCCCATCGCCATGACAACTCCTCCCTGGAACGGAACGTAGGGAGGCCCGTCCTACAGGTTTGTTTGTGCTCCCAGGAGCTGAAAGGGACAGCCCTGACCGTAGGGGAGGGCAGGGGCAGAGGCAGGCAGAGGGAGAACCCCAGGAGGGAGAGTGGGTGGCCTCAGGAACCAGAGGTAGGTGGAGGAGAGGAGGGAATGGAGGAACCTGCTTCAGGGAAGAGGTAGGCGAAATAATGGGAGTAACAGGCGGCAGGTGGAAGGAACAGGTGGGGAAGGAGAGGGGCTGATCATGACCTGGCAGGGAGAACAGGTGTGGGGGTGGCCATGGAGTTTGGGGAAGACACTGCAAAGGATGAAAGATGAAAGAGGTGGGTGGAGCAGGAGGCCAACAAGGGCAAGAGTGGAATGAAATGAAAGGACTTAGACTTGACGCAGACAGGCAGCCAGGAGGAGAAGCTGTTTGACTCAGCAGAGTACCCAGCTGTGTCCACGGGTTAGCATAGCTTTTTACACTTGGCGAGGTGGAGGGGGAAGGAAGCCAAGGAATGTTCTAGACTGTATGAAATGTGTTCTGAGGGTGGAATTGGGGAGTAGGGGCTGGGAAGGGAATCTAGGGCCCCCATGAGTGTAGCAGCTTAGAGACAGACAGAATAAGTCTGCCCCTCCAGCTCATGGAGTGTCCCACGGAGTGAAGCAGCCTCCTCACTTGGCCAGCAGGTCTGCGGTCAGGGCAGCGAGGGCGGGGCAGTTGGGTGTGCATGGCCGGCCAAGCGGAGCCCTGTGGACTCACCTGCCAGGGCCTTGATCCGTGACCTTTCGAAGAGGCGGGCGGAGCTGGTGTCATTGTCCCAGTCAGAGTCGGGCAGGTCCCAGCGGTTGTTGATGTCGCTGTACTGGCCCTGGATCTCCAAGCTGTCGAAGTCTGTGGGTGACAGGGTGCTGCTCATGGTGACGGGTGTCGTCCTGCTCCTGGGAGGGGAAAGGCAGCTGGTGAGGGCCATCCTGGGGCACCTGAGCCCCCCGCCCCAGGCTCCCTGTCATGCCTCTCCCCTGCTTGCCCTCTGCCCCAGCGTTGTGGTGGGTTTTGTGCAGAAGGCACTCAGCCCCCAGGCGGGGAGGCAAAGCCCCTGTGGAAGAGCAGAGGGACAGGACAGAGCAGACACACCCAGAGAGCGCAGCAGACAGGCTCAGGGCACAGCCCGGCTGGCTGGAGCGGCTTGGGTGTGGTCCAGGATGGTACTGTGGAGACCAGGAGGGTGTGGTGGCAGATGTGGCCACCTCGGGCCACAGGGATTACAAAGGGGAATTCTCTCCCGTCCTGTTCTATGGAGGCTCTGAGCCCCTGCTCCTCACAAATGCCCCTGATGCCTAAAGGGGAGGAGATGAAAAGACTGCCCCTGCTGTCAGCTCAGGCAGCTCTGTGGACCACCGGGGAGGCCGCACCCACGAGAGGCTGCACCGCAGGGTTAGCCTGGTGTCCGTAAATGCCCAGGAGTTCACAGCAGCAACATCAGAGCTCACTTGCGCCTTTGCCACAGGAAATTAAAAGCCAAAAAAATGAGTGGCTGTGGATTCCCACCCATGGTGTCACGGCATAGGTACATTCTGTAGGGGAGGGTTTATTTTTTTTTGTTTTTAACAATACTCTTTATGAAAACAGATGGTCAGGCCTTCCACAGCCTTGCTGGGTGAGTTTGAACTGCCAAACTTCAGGTTAATAGTCAAGTGCAAACTGTTTGTGCATCTCCTAAGGATCTTATTAGGCAGCTCTGGTGGCTTAGGGGTAAGGAACTGCGCAGGCAACACAAAGGTATGTGGTTCGAATCCACCAGCTGCTCTGTGGGAGATGAGCAAGCTCCTCTCACATGACTTACTGTCTCTGAAAACCTGCTGGACGGTCAGCTATGGGTCGCTTTTGATTCAACGGTACATAACAACGAAGACCTCACAACAAAGAATTAAAAAGATCCACTGCCCTTAATTCCAACTCTCGGCGAGCCTCCAGGACAGAGCAGAACTGTCCCAGAGGGTCAAAGGCTGTAATCCTCCTGCAGGGCAGCTGGTGGGGTCAAACCGCCAACCTTTCAGTTCACAGTCAAGCACTTCAATGACTATGCCACCAGGTCTCCATGTTGTTGGGTGTTTTGGGGTTTTTTTTGACACTTTAAAAAAAATTATGTCAATGAAAATTTTCAGAGACTTTGGATTTCTGTTCACTTAATGTTGCACACTTCTCCCCTCCCAACCCTCCCTCTTGAAAAAGTAAAAGAAAAATTCTTTCATTGTTTTACAATCCCTCCCCCCAGGTCCACTCCACTATGCAGCCTTCGCTCTGGACTCCTGTCATGACAAAAATACCTAATCACGTATCCCTTTTAAACAGTTTTCTCCCTCATCTGTTTCAATGCAGTATACATTTTTGAATGCATCTTTCTCAGTCTCTCCTGAACCCCAAGGTCAGTCCTGTTTTACAACAGTGGCACCATGCAGTATTTTCCTTTTATGCTGAGATACTTCACTCAGCATAATGTCCTCCAGGGTCACCCATTTTGAGTAATATTTCATGAGTTCCTTGTTTTTCAATGCAGGGTAGTATTCCATTGTGTGAATATACCACAGCTTCTCTATCCATTCGTTTGTTGATGGGCACTTAGGTTGTTTCCAACTCCTTGCTATTGTGAACAAAAGCTGCAATAAACATGGGTGTGCACAGGTCTCCTTATTGTTAGGAATGTTGCTGTTGTTGTTAGGTGCCGTTGAGTCGAGTTCCACTCACAGCAACCCTATGAACAACCGATCTGAACACTGTCCTCTCCCATGCCAGCATTACAAACTCTTGACATATCAAGCTTGGCCCATGTCAGTGACACCACCTTCTGCCAGTCTGTCTGTCATACTGTGGTGGCTCCCATGTTGCTGGAAGCTATGCCGCTGATATTTCAAATACAAGCTGGGAGCCCTCATGGTGGACAAGCTTCAGCAGCCCAAGAGACACTAGAAAGAAAGGGCAGGCCGACTACTCCAAAACTTACCCAGTGAAAACCCTACAGACCACAACAGAACACTGCCCAAAAGGCTGAGCCCCTTGGTTAGAAAGTACTCAGCAGTGGACCTAAGCAGACCAAGGATTATGAAAGTGGTGCAGGGCCTGGAGTCTGTGCGGTCACCGTGAACCAGTCAGGCACTATCACCTCATCACAAGCCCATCATCAAGTCCATAGGGGAGGAAGCCGAGTCTCAGAGAGACCAAGTCACACAGACAGAGGGACAGGTTCTTTCCAGTTTTAAGGGACAAATTCTCCATGCCATGGAAAACATTTACAGTTCCCTAACTACCAGGAGCCCTAAGGGCTCTTCCTGGGAGACCAGCACCCCCTCCTCCCTAGAGCCCCAGCCAGGGAAATCAGGACCAGGCCCACTGCTGGCTGTTCCCATCGATGCCTGCCTCTGTCAGCAAACACACACTGTCCCTCTCAAAACCAACAAGTGAGCTGCAGATTAGCTGCTGGGGAATTAAAAAAAACCCACAAAAACAAAACTAAACCAAACAACTCTCCTGTCCAAAGTTCTTGCAATTGAGCTTTCAGCTCTCAGCCCACGGAGGGGGCTGGGTCTTCAATTTTATCTGAACCCCCAATTCTCCACTTCCAAATTTTTAAAAAACCAACTCAAACTTGTTGCTGTCGCATTGATTCTAACTCCTAGCAAGCCTGTCACAGAGAACTGCCCATCAGTGTTTCCAGTGCTAGAAATCATGGCAGCAGACTCCTGCATTGTTCACTCACAGAGCTGGTGGGTTTGAACCAGTGACCTTCAGGTTAGCACTTGAGTGCTTTAACCCCTACCACACCAGGAGTCCTTCTTATTTCCACCTCTCAAGTTCAAGGGCACATGAATCCTTAGCAGTGCTTCTGAGGGCTGTGATCTTGGCAGTGTCTGATTCTGGAAAGAAAGAGGCAGAGTGGACCTCCCGTGTGGTTTAGGGAAGGAAGGAGTGAGTGAGACACAGCACAGGGAGGGAGAGAGGTGTGTTTCTGTGGGCACACACAGGTAGAACTGGACCGCTGTCATTGACTCGTTTCCGTAAAGTTGAACCTGACCTGTGTGATGGGCAGGTCTGCCTGCCCCTCCTTTTTCTCCTGAAGAGGAAACAAACTTAGGATTGTCCAGGGAGTAGCATTAACCTGGTGTGAGGAAACTAATGCTTAGGGAATAAAGTTCCTAGATTTGGGCTTTTTATTCCCTGTTGGGGTTTAAGCTGATGGAAGGATCAGCAGTTTGGTTCCACCAGCCGCTCTAAGAGAGAAAGATGCAGCCGTCTGCGGGACTGACAGCCTTGAAACCAGATGGAGGGCTCCAGGAGTTGGAAATGGGCTTGGTTTGGTACTAGGTGAAGATTGAGCCACCCAGTGCACCATGGAAACAAAGGTCTTGCCATCTGCTTCCATCAAAGGTGACAGGCAAGCAGATCCCTATGGAGCAGGCCTGCTCTGTAACACCCGGGGGCTCCCTGAGCAGGAAGGGATGCTGAGTCTGCAGGTTTGCTTTGATAAAAACAGAGTTTAGTGGCCACTGGGCCCAGAACACAGTGACCGCAGCAGTGGGCTCAAGTGTGTCAGCGATGATCAGGATGGTGCTCGGCCAGGTCAACACTGCTGGGTGGTCCAGGGCTCAGGACGGTTTGATCAGAGGGTTGCTATCTACTCACTGGATGACACTTAACAACAGGCCCAGGTCTCTTTTCTCATTCAAAATCCATCCTGCCTCCTCCCCCCTTCGTGGAGTCTCTGAACTTGCTCTGTAAATATTTACGTAAAAATAAATTCCAGGGCAGAGTTGAGTCACCCTGAGTGAAGAGTGGTGTGAGCAAGGTGTGAGCAAGGCATGACCTGGACCAGAGTCACCTACTACTACTGGCCATGATGTCACCCTGCCAGGTGACACCATCAGAGCGGGGGCACCAAAAAGCATGAGCACCTGTGAAACTTCTGTTCAGTGCTTCAACAGAGATGTACTTTAAAAAAAAAATTTCTTTATTATTTGTGTGTGTGTGTGTGTGTGTGTGTACCGTCAAATCAGATCTGACTGGTACAGGAGGAGATTGCCCCTCCTTCTCCAGCAGAGCATCTAGTGGATTTGAACTGTGCACCTCTGGGATTGCAGTATACCTTCTTTGCCACTAGGCCACCAGAGCTCGCCCAGAGACGTATTTTTAAAAAGAAAAATAGCCCTGTGGTAAGTTATAACGACAAAAACGCTTTTTGTAAGCTCAGCTTCGACGTATCAGTATTCCTACAAGGCTAACACAGCCAGAGAGACTACTGCTCCATGACAGAGACGCTTTGACCGTGGGGCTTGCGTCTGTGCTAGAAACGTGTGCTGCTTCAGTTTGATAGCTGAGGTGTGGTTTTTTTGCTGTTGTTGTTGTTTTAAAATTTTAATGAAAGTTTAGAGAGACTTAGGATTTCCAGTCATTCACTGTTGCACTTTTCTCCCTGCCCACCCCATTCACTCTTCTCCTTAAAAAGTAAAAGAATCAAAACAACTATGAGATATCATCTCACCCCAATAAGAATAGCAAAATAGAACAGCAAGCAACAAATTCTGGCGAGGATGTGGAGAAACTAGAACTCTTATTCACTGTTGGTGGGAATGTAAGATGGTGCAACCATTGTGGAAGGCGGTGTGGCGCTTTCTCAAAAAATTGCAAATAGAGATACCATTTGACCCAGCAATCCCATTACTGGGAATATACCCCAGAGAGACCATGTCTGCCATCCAAGCAGATATATGCACACCCATGTTTACTGCAGCTTTGTTTACAATAGCAAAGAGTTGGAAGCAGCCTAAGGGCCCATCAACAAACGAATGGATAGAGAAGCTGTGGTATATCCACACAACGGAATACTACGCAGCATTGAAAAACAAGGCACTCATGCAATGGGTG